AATGCTTGCCTACATGCACAAGGCCCTGGCTTTCATCTCCAGCACCATATAAGCGAAGTATGGTGGTTGTCTAGGTTAGGGTTTGTATTACTGTGTCAAAGAACTATGACAAAAAATTAAATTGGGGAAGAAAGGATTTATTTGGCTTATACTTCCATATTGCTGCTCATCATCAAATAAGAGGACAGGAACTCAAACAGGGCAGGAACCTGGCAGAAGGAGCTGATGCAAAAGCCATGAAGGAGTGTTGCTTACTGGCTTGCTCCTCAAGGCTTGATCAATCTGCTTCCTTATAGAATCCAGTACCACCCACAATGGGCTGAGCCTTTTCCCATCAATCACTAACTTAGAAAATGTCTTAGAGCTGGATCTGATGGAGGCATTTCTCAATTGAGGCTTCAGGTGACTGTAGCTTGTGCCAAGTTGACATAAGATTAGCCAGCATGGTGGTATACACCTGGCATCCTAACACCAGGGAATAGAGACAAATTCAAGGTCATCCTGGCTATAAACAGAGTTTGAGGCCAGCCTGGGATACATGAGACCTTGTCAAAATAAAGTTTAAAAATGATGAGATATAAATAATCTCTGTGCCACTATCTAAGCAGATCTAAAGTATATGAGCAGAAAAAAATACTATATCAAATAAATAAATGCACTCAAATTTTAAAAGAAAATAAACCTGATTAAAATATCTAAAAATGATTATAAAAGTAAAATAACCTATAAGATGAGACTCTTGCAGACAGCACACAGTTTGTTCTTCCTGCATCCTGGACACAGACAATCTTCTGAGCTCCAGTTAAACTATGTTCACTTCATGCAGTGAAGAAAGAATGTACTCTGTCTTGTCGTTTCAGGAGCCAGCGATCTTTTTCTCCCTCTGGTGTCTATATCCGGTACTGCAGAATCTCTGGTACTGAGACAAGCTGGTTTGGCTCTGTGTGTGCCAGACAGTCAGTGGCAGAACAACATCTGCCGTTCTTCTGAAATCACGCCTATGCCATTCCTGCCATGCTTATCATTCCATTCACTTGTCTCTTCTGCAACGATCTGATTTTACCCCTGCCATGTCCATCCTGGTCCTAGAGATGGGCTCAGGCCACAAGCTTAGCAACAAATGTTCTTGCCCCACTGAGCCATTCTGCAGGGTACACCACACTCAGTAATCAGCTACCACATTGTTATCAATGAGGTGGTATTGGTTCACACACTCATGGTCAGTGTATGAGATCAACACCTAATACATTAAAGTGAATGTTGTAAACGTCACACACTTGGGAGTGTGCAGTGGCATATTTGATTTTTTTCCTTTAGTTTTCTAATTGCAGTAAAACATAAATAAGCTGTCACTTAGCCACATATTGGTAGTGACTAACACTTAATATTTTCACACGCTGTCTGCGCACCACTATTACATATCTCTGTACATATTACACTATGCACAGGTCTCCACTGTCCCCAACACATTAAATATAACTTCCTTTTCTCTCCCAATCTCTGCTCTGCCTTCTGTCCCAATGAATCTACCTATTGTAGGACTTTGTGTAAGTGGAATAAAAACATATTTGCTACTGTGTTAGACTGGTTTTACTAAGCATCTTTACATGGTCTACTCGTGCTGATACATACATAAAACTTGTTTCTTTTTACTTATGCACCATGAAATATAAACACATTTTGTTTATTTACTGTGGTTAATGAACAAAACTGGTATACAGACACCTGTTTTAATTATTTTAGAACAATTCCCTAGTTAACTTTAACCTTCAACTTGACACAACTTAAAGTCGCCTGAGAAGGAGTCCCAATTAAGGATTACCTTAATCAGACTAGCAGGGGGGTGGGATATCTGTGAGAGATGTCTTGGATGCTCATTGATATGAGGGGCCCAGCCTACTGTAGGTAGCACCATCCCTATGCAGGTGGTTCTGGCTGCATAGAAATACGCACAAGAACACACTCCATGTGCAGGAACCTGAGAGTGAGCCAATCAACAGGGTTCCTTCCTAATCTCTGCTCCTGCTTCATGTTTATGTTCCTACCACCTTGACTTCATCCTAGCGATAGACCGTGACCTGGAAGTCATATCAGCCCCTTTTCTCCCAAGTAGCTTCTGATCAGACTATTTTATCACAGCAAAAGAGAGGAGGAGAAATACACCTGGCAGTGGGTTTTCTGTGTCACACTGTAACTGTTTACTTCTTCTAGAAAACACCAATTTGTTCCCCACTGTGGCTGCTCCATTTTACAGGACCACCAGCGACACACAGGACTCCAGTTTCTCCTCATGACACTTGGGGTGTTCCCTTTCTGCTTTTATAGCCATCATGATGGATATTAAACAATATTTCATGTGGCTTACATGCTCCCTAGTGGGTGTGGTGTCAAATATTTTCATTTGCTTAACAGCCAGGTGCTTTGTTGTTTTTTAGTTTTCAGAGATAGAGGGTCCCTATTGACCCTCAGTCTCAGTTGTGGAATTATAATTGTGTGCCATGCCCTATTTTACCAGGTAAATATATTTCTCTGCTAGAATGTCTATTCAAACTGAGTCTTGTGCCTGTTTTGTTTTTTAAATTTTTATTTTGCTTTTCCTTTGTTTGAACCCAGAGTCTAGTGCATATAAGATGTTAGAACCCAGACCTCCACAACCAAGGTGCGTCTCTAGCATCTGCCCAGTTCTGGGTGCTTGTTGCTGTTGTTAAATAATCTCTAGAATCCCAGACACTGATTCTTTATGGAAGAGCTTTTATTTCTTTAGACAAAGTCTCACTATGTAGCCCAGCCCAGGCTGGACTCAAGCTTATTGAGAAGTTCTAAGCTGGGAACTGGGCATGGCAGTGCCCACTTTTAGTCCCAGCACTTGGGAGGCAGAGGCAGGCCGATCTCTGTGAGTTTGAGGCAACCTGGTCTACAAAATGAGACCCTGTCTCAACCTACTCCCCACCCCCCCCCAAAAAAAAGTCCAAGCTAACTTCAAACTCATGGTCCGAGTGCCTCAGACTACCAAGTACAAGGATTACAGGCATGTGCCAATGCCCATCTCAAGAGATTAAAAAAAAAAAAACTTATGTAAGTTTAAAGTTTAAAACTTGGCTGGGTGGTGGTAGTACATGTCTTTAATCCTAGCACTCAGGAGGCAGAGGCAGGAGGATCTCTGTGAGTTCAAGGCGAGCCTGATGTATAGAGCAAGTTCCAAGACAGCCAAGGCTATCTTCAAGACAGAGAAACACTGTCTTGGAAAACCAAAAAAAGTAAAACCTTATGAAAGTTTTCGCTCACTCTGATTTTGTTCTCTTAGTAGCACTGTTTGATTCACGAAAGTTCACATTTTACAGTTTCAAGGGTTGGATCCAAGGGCCTTTGCTCTACACGCTACAGTATGATTTGCGAGTCAGGCAAGGAGCTTGAGATCGAAACACACACACACACACACACACAGAGGGTGGGGGGGATAACACCAAGAATGCCTCAAATGCCCCCTTTATAGTCTTCCAGGACAGCTTATATAGGGTCTCCTTGACGAATGATCACATCCTAACTCTCAGCTGCAAGCCCACCAGAAACCACTCCCCGGACATCAGGAACTCCTGAGGGTCTCGTGCTCAGAGCAGCTGCAAGCACTGGAAAACAGGTTGTTTACTCTGGCAGGCAGGGGGGTCACAGGAAATTCAGGGTCTGGGGTCCACAGTCCCTAACACTTAGTGTACACCAATCAAATGTTCTATCACTGAGATACCAAGTTCCCAAATTCTTAACTTAAATAAAGTTCAATTTCTTCTTTTAGAAAATCTATTAGCTGGATGGTGGTGATGCACACCTTTAAGCTCAGCACTCAGGAGGCAGAGTTCAAGGATCTCTGTGAGTTCCTAGCCAGCCTGGTCTACAGAGCGAGTTCCAGGACAGGCACCAAAGCTAAACAGAGAAACCCTGTCTCAAAAGAAAATCTATTTTTTATTATTATTATTATTATTGTTGTTATTATATGAAGCATCACATCTGAGAAGGTGTGTGGGCCACAGGGCATGTGCCATAGTGCCTGTGTGAGATCAGAGGGCCACTCTGTGGTGCTGCTCCTCTCTTCCTGCCTTCATGGGCTCTGAGGTTAATCTCAGGTCACCAGACTCACAGAGCAAGCACTTCACACGCTGAGCCACCTCTAGCTCTTCCACTTATTTTCCTTTGTTGCCTATACTTTTGGTGCCATATCTAGGGGAGAAAAATCCAATGTTGCCAGGATCTCTGACAACGTTTTCTATAGGTGTGGCATTTACAGGCAGTGCACTCAGGAAGGCTGATAGAGCTCTGGCTGGCAAGCACTTTAACTGTTTTTTTGAAAAAAATGTCTCAAGTGCCCAGATTCTTTTGGTTAATGATTTGTTAAAAATGCAGTGCTCACCAACGAAAACAGTTCCAACTTTGTTCAGAGTGAAGAAACATCTGGGATGTGATTAATTGCCTTTTAATTTCTCTGGATCTATCTGATTTGTTTAGTCTAGATTCCAGAATATTGAGTTTCTTAAGGTAGGTCATATGTTAAATATATGCACATCAAAATATCTGTTCCCTTATAAATATCCCAATCTTGTATACAGTGTACGCCTCAGCACACACGGGGAGGGAGTGGGGTAAAGTAAAAGAGCACAGCGTGTGTGTGCACGCGCACACACACGCACACACACACACACACACACACACACACACACACACCCTGTGCACGGAGCCTCAGGCTCATTTTCCTTTGTGCTCCTCACTGCACAGGCAGGGCTTTCTCCTAGTGCATACAACACAGGCGTTTCACACTTACCTTTCCCGGGACTGCGGAGAACAGTGATTTAAAGAAAAGTATTTACAAGAGGTTCCCACTAATATGGTCTCCCCACACAGACTCTAAGTACGCCATGAACATGCATTTCCGATAGTCAGTGAACCTTTCTCTCATAACCAAGCAACACCTTTTGAAACTCGAGTAGAGGGATGTTTGGCTTAACACCTACCGACTTTGAGTGTCCAGTCCATTAAGATGACACTCTCTGAGCTCAGACACTAATGACGAAACCATCTGTAAAACAAAATCAGACGCAGGTCACCTCACACCGCAGCACGATTACCTCAGCTCCATTTCTCTTGCTGTGAGTGACACATCCTTACCATTTCCTCCCCCATTCTCTCCTTGCGTTTTACTTTGCAGGGTGAATGGAAGGCGACATCACATCACACTGACCCACGTGGGTCTCTACACTGAATGTCTAGGTCCTACAGAAGCCTGGGCACAGACATGTCATTAACATCCTAAAATTAACACCAGACCCACAGAAAATTAAAAAATACTAGAGTTTACTTCTTTTTTCCTTTTTTAGTTCCCCTTTTTAAAGTGATTTTCAGTGTATTACGTCCAAAACATCAAAACAGCTAAGAGCCACCAGAGATCTCATTTTGAGAAGAGTATAATATATGTGGAAGCATAAGCCACAGGACCTGGACGGAAGCCAGAGGACAACTCTTCTACCTCTGCATGGGAACTGAGGATCAAACTCGGTCACCATGTCTTTACAGCAAGCACTTTTACCCGCTGGGCCATTTTGCCAGCCCTTTGTCTGTTTTGCTTTAACATAAAATCCAAATGGACTATTTTACACATGACATCTGCTCAGAAGTCCAGGCTATGTTTATACTGGTTAAGGGGTGCTCTTCTCAGAAATCGGGTGAGTGAGCTGTGTTGTGAGAGGCACCTCACATTTTCCTTCCGTGGTTGCAAGTCTACCCAGGTAAGACACAGTGCAACAATTCCCTGTAAGAGGAAATGTCCCATTTACCCTTCACACATCTGGTGAGAATTTCAACACAAATAATGCAAGATACTCACGTTTTTAAGCAAGCTAGGACAGTAATCAACAGGCTCATATCCGAGACTTTCAGTAAAAAGAGCAACTTCTTTCACGTCAAATCTGAATGCAGAAAGCACGTGCGATAACAAACCCTACAAAGTAAAAAGAGAAACAGTCAACTTCTCCCAAGTGGATGGAAAGGTCTGGGATGACAGCTGAGGCCCCTGTAGAGTACCAGGGTTCCTAGTAAACCAGCCATTCCCTGACGATCAATGGAATCAAATCCAAGACCCAGACATGAATCCACACACCTATGGATACTTGATTTTTGATGAGGCAGCTAGGGATATAAAATGGAAAAAAGAAAGCATCTTCAACAAATGGTGCTGGTCTAACTGGATGTCAGCATGTAGAAGAATGCAAATAGATCTATATCTATCACCATGCACAGAACTCAAGTCCAAGCCGGGCGGTGGTAGTGCACGCTGATCTCTGTGAGTTCGAGGCCAGCCTAGTCTACAAGAGTTAGTTCCAGGACAGCTAGGGCTGTTATACAGAGAAACCCTGCCTCGAAAAACCAAACAAACAAACGAAAAAAAAAAAAAAAACAAACTTAAGTCCAAGTGGATCAAAGATCTCAGCATAAAACCAGATATACTGGGAAATAGCCTTGAACACACTAGGCACAGGAGACAACTTCCTGAAACAAAGACACCAATAGCACAGACAGGAAGATTGATTGACAATTAATAAAGGAGACCTCATGAAATTGAAAAGCTTCTGTAAGTCAAAGGACACCATCAATAGGACAAAATGGTAACCTACAGAATGAGAAAAGATCTTCACCAAACCCACATCTGACAGATGGCTAATAACCAAAATATAAACAACAAGAAACTAGACATCAAAAGAAAACAAAAAAAAAAACAAATGATCCAATTAAAAAATGGACTACAGACCTAAACAGAATTCTCAACAGAGGAATCTCAAATGGCCGAGAAACAAAGAAATGTTCAACATCTTTAGCCATCATGGAAACACAAATCAAAACAACTCTGAGATTCCATCTTACGTCATAATGCCTAAAATCAAAAACCCAAGTGACAGCTCATGCTAGAGAAGATGTGGAGTAAAAACACTCCTCCACTGCTGAGTGAGTAGGAACTTGTACAGCTACTATGGAAATCAACATGGCATTTTCTCAGAAAACTGGGAATCAATCTACCTTAAGACGCAGCTATCCCACCCCTGGGCATCTACCCAAAGGACACTCCATTCTACAACAAAGACTCTTGTTCAGTCTATGTTCATAGCAGTTTGATTAGAAAAAGCCAGAAACTGGAAACAACCTAGATGTCCCTCAACCAAAGAATGGATAAAGAAAGTGTGGTACACTTACGCAATGGAGTATTACTCAGCTGCTTAAAAAAAAAAAAAAAAAAAAAAAAAAAAAGACATGAAATTTGCAGGCAAATGGATGGAACTAGAAAAAAACATCCTGAGGCAAACCAGACCCAGAAAGACAAACATGTATGTACTCAATTTTAAGTGGATAATAGCTGTAAAGTAAAAAATAATCATACTACAATCAACAGACCCAGAGAAGCTAACAAGGAGCGTTCAAGTGGGGAATGCATGGATCTCCCTTGGAAGGGAAAACAGAATAGATTTCATTGGTGGACAAGGGACAGATGGGAACAGGGGGGGATCAGGTGTGGGTGGAAGGAGAGAGTACTGGGAAAGATAACTGGAATTGGGGGGCATTTGGGGGGAGAGGAAGAAACCTAGTACAATGTAAATGACCTGAATCTGGACGAGCCCAGAGGTTCAGCCTCAGATAAAACAAGCAGAAGTCATAAAAGCAACATACTGAGTCCTTCTCTGGGCTGACAGGCTCTAGAAAACAAGCTTTAGTCCTGAGATCTCTTACTTAAAAGTAGATTTCATGAGCTGAGGCAAGAGCTCAGCAGTTAAAAATCAATGGCCGCTCTTCAAGAGAGCCCAGGTTCAAGTCAGAGCCCACAAAGTGTCTTAGAACCATCTGTAACTACAGTCAGAAGAGATTCAGTTGCCCTCTGGCTTCTGCAGGCACCAGGCATTGGGTGCCTAGACTTAACGTTCAGGCAAGACACTCAATATATAAAATAAAAGGTAAAACTTAAAATAAACTTCAAAGTCAGTTAAGCTTGGTCAAGGATGTAGCTCGGTGGCAGAGTACAAACTAGACAACCAGTCAGTTCTCAGCACCAAGAAACAGAATAAAAATCAGTTTCTCACTGGTAGGAATATCTGTTTCACTGCCACCTAGTGGCAAGATCTTTAAACACAGAACCATGAAAGGCAAGGCGCTGGCTGCCAGCACTGATGGAGTGGTGCGCTCTTTCAAAGACCAGGTATGGGACACTCTCTGACTTCCCCCTCCTGGGTGTGCTAACATGAGGGACGAACAAATAACACAAACTAGTGTAGTGTTGTACACAGAAAATGGACAAATGAACACGCACCGACGGCAACACAGTGCAAACACTTCAGACCTGATCGTTCTAAGGCCCTTCAGAGGTCAAAGTACAAAAACTAACATGACTACAACCTTGAAAGACCCTGGCATAGCATGCACGCAGAGGTCAAAAGAAAGTTTTCCAGAGTCGGCTCTCTCCAGCAGTTATGTGGGCACCGGGATTAGACTCAGATTACCAAGCATGGTGGCAATAGCCTTTACCTGATGATATATCTCACTAGCCCACATACAAGAACTTGTGTGTGTCTGAATGCTTGCATGTATGTATGTATGTATGTGCACAATGTGCATGCAATCCTTTGGAAATGGAGTTATATAGAGGGCCGTGAGCTACCATGTGGGTGCTGGGAACTTAGCCTGGGTCCTCTGCAAATAGTCTTAACCAGTCCCATACCCCTACAGTCCCAGGATAACCAGGTACCTTCCAGAGTCTTAGGATACCCAGAAGTGACCAGACAAGCAGCAGCAAACATCATTACTGCAGAGAGAGTTGAACCTGAATCTAAATCAGTTATGAAGCTGATCTTCACATTCTGAAACTAATTTTCATAGATTCATACAACTGATTTATTTTGCCTTCCCCAGTGTACCCGAGGTACATTAAAATATGTTTGGCCTCCCCTTTCTCAAGCCCTTCAACAAGTATCCAGCTTGTTAATCTAGAGCAGGTCGCAGGGGGGAAGCTATCTGAATGCTCGGCAGATGAAAACCCTGTGCCCCAAGGCTGCACCAGCTACTTCCTCTTTCACGTTCACATGACTTGCGCTGAACTGTCTAGAAAGCAGATATGGATTATACCAGAACTCTTATTTAGCTATCACTGACATTCCTACATTAATTAAAGCATCTGCAAGTGATTTCTAGTTTTCATCACTAAGTATCAGGCTGAAAATTGGGCTTCTGTTCTTGACAACTCTATCTTAAATCACCATCTCTCCCCATTTACACAGATGATTCAACGTAAGACCAATGTGTAAACTTACTCCAGAGGACAAAGCATAGAAAGACTGATCCCTCTCAAGTATGATGCCGCAGCAAGCACCGCACAGCACTGCAGACGTCCAGCAACATGTACGACACAGCATTGCAGATGTCCAGCATGCACCACAGAGCACTGCAGACGCCCAGCAGCATGTACGACACAGCATTGCAGATGTCCAGCATGCACCACAGAGCACTGCAGACGCCCAGCAGCATGCACGGCAGAGCACTGCAGACGCCCAGCAGCATGCACGGCAGAGCACTGCAGACGCCCGGCAGCATGCACGGAACAGCATGCACGGAACAGCACTGCAGACGCCCGGCAGCATGCACGGTACAGCATGCACGGCAGAGCACTGCAGACGCCCGGCAGCATGCACGGCAGAGCACTGCAGACGCCCGGCAGCATGCACGGCAGAGCACTGCAGACGCCCGGCAGCATGCACGGCAGAGCACTGCAGACGCCAGGCAGCATGCACGGCAGAGCACTGCAGACGCCCGGAAGCATGCACGGCAGAGCACTGCAGACATCCAGCAAGAAAATGGAAGTCAGGAGATAGAGAGATGGTTCAGAAGTTAAGTGCACTGACTGCTCTGCCAGAGGCCTAGGTTTTGATGACTCACAATTCTCTACTACACCAAGTCCAGGGGATTCGATGCCATCTTCTGACCTGAGGACCTCAGGCACACAAGTGGAGCACAGACATAGATTTGGGCAAAACACTCAAGATACATTAAAATAAATCTTTAAAATATTTTAAAATGTGTGTCAGAGGTTTGCATAAATGTGGACAGATAAAAGGATTTGGGAAGAAAAATTCAGTGTCACCGAGATGTATACTGTTTGGGTATAAACTGCAGTTGTAAACGGCAGCCCTATATCGGGCTGTTATCTGAACGTCACAAACTTTCCTGACACTATACACAGACAAAGCACAAAACACAGCACAGCACATGCTGAGGAAATATGAAAAGTGAATGACTCCACAGGCAACCCAACTCAGTTTACATATATGAGCACAGGCACGGTACAGTCACGGCCCATGTCATGACAGTCTACCCCCACCCATCTACATCATCAGCACACTAAAATTCCCAAGGAAGGGCTTTCATCACTCTTTCCCCACAGTCTGAAATCATAAGATCTGTTTCCAAATTGTCAGCATGTCCACACTACAAGTAGTGATAAAACTGGAAGAGAAACAGCATTCAAACAGCTCGAAAATTAGAAATTTGTTACATTGAAAAGTTTTCTGTTGTGTTGCTTCTGGATTAAGAATTAAAAGCAGTTGAGTGGTGGTGGTGTGGTAGTGCACAGTACTAACCTCAGCATTTGGCAAGCAGAGGAGTCACACCTCTGTGAGTGTGAGGTCATCCTGCTCTATAGAGTTCCAGGACAGACAGGGGAGTTTTACACACACACACACACACACACACACACACACACACAGAGAGAGAGAGAGAGAGAGAGAGACAGAGACAGAGAGACAGAGAGAGTTAAGCCATTTTAGGAGCCTTCAGTAGATGTGGCCTAGCAGGCAGAATTAGGTAGCTAGGGGCAGGCCTTTGAAACTGAGAGTCCAGTACCTGGTTCTGGCCTCACCTTCTGGTCCCCCACACCCCTCTGGTCCTCAGTGGTGACTAAGACCACTG